ATGCCGGCCAACTCCGAGAAGGAGCACCTGTCCATCGTGATTTGCGGCCACGTCGACAGCGGCAAGAGCACCACCACGGGCCGCCTCATCTTCGAGCTGGGCGGACTGCCCGAACGCGAGCTGGAGAAGCTGAAGGCGGAGGCCGAGCGCCTGGGCAAGGGTTCCTTCGCGTTCGCGTTCTACATGGACCGCCAGAAGGAGGAGCGCGAGCGCGGCGTCACCATCGCCTGCACCACGAAGGCCCGGCAAGGCTGATGCCGCTAAGACGGTTGCTGGGAGAATCACCCCCTCCACAGGGTTGTAGGCCCTGACGCACCAGCTTGGAGGAGGGCGACAAAATTAGCCATCGCAGGGGCCAATGCGTCCCTTGCACCCGGGTTGTCGTGCGTTGATGGGGGGGCCTCGACGACCCGCCGCGGGCCAATGCGTCTGCGGCGAAACTCGTACTCTCAAGCAGCTGGGTAGGGACTGCCCAGTCTCCCAGTGCAGGACGGAAGGGTCTACTGGAGTGGACCAGGCGAGAGGGGGCGGTTCCGTTGTGGCGGCCCTGGCACCGAGTCCCTTACGAGGACTGGCTCGGTGGACGTGAGGTTGGCGCCGCGGCTCCTTCGCCTGTCTGGGAGTCCGCAGCGATTTGGTGGGCCCGCGGCTCCGGATCAATCATCTTGGCGCAAGCTGGGATGTCGGCCGCGTTGTGGCTGCAACTTCCGCTACCCGTGAGGGTCAATGTAACAAATTCTCTCTCGCCGCATTTTGGGACTGTACCGTCTACTGCACTTGGGGGGCAAGGCACCCCGATTCCAGTTGCACCGCCGTCCGTAAGGGCCTGCACCGGCGGCGCTTGCACCACGAAGGAGTTCTACACCGAGAAGTGGCACTACACGGTCATCGATGCCCCGGGCCATCGCGACTTCATCAAGAACATGATCACTGGCGCTTCGCAGGCGGACGTTGCTCTCATCATGGTCCTGGCCGACGGCAACTTCACGACCGCCATCGCCAAGGGCAACCACAAGGCCGGCGAGATGCAGGGGCAGACTCGCCAGCACTCCCGCTTGATCAACCTGCTGGGCGTGAAGCATTGGCGTCAACAAGATGGACTGCGACACCGCGGGATCCAGTTGCGCTTCCGCGCGAATCCGCCTCCGCTCTTGGGGGGGGCGCCTGGGGTAGGTGGAGGCGGGCCCGGTTGGGGTGTTGGGTTAAGGGAGGGGGCCCTAGAGGTTGTGTCTAGCATAAAACCTGGATTTTGGTATCACATCTTGCAAGGAAGGCGCAAACGCAAGGAACTTGGCCAACACAATACAAGCATGCTGGGCTCGCTGCGTCGCGGCGCCCCAATCATTGCTTCGCAAAAGCGCCATGGCCCCATTCGCGTACCAACCGTTGTCAGCTCGGTGTCGGATACAAGCAGTCCCGCTACGACGAGATCGGCAACGAGATGAAGAGCATGTTGGTCAAGGTTAGGTGGAAGAAGGACTTCGTCGAGAAGGGCACGCCAGTGATGCCCATCTCTGGCTGGATGGGCGACAACCTGCTGAAGAAGTCCGACAACATGGGCTGGTGGAAGGGCTGCGATGTCGAGTACGGCTAGGAGACCATCCACTTGGACACCGTCTACGATGTGCTCGACGTGATGTGCCGCGTGCTGGAGAGGCCCACCAGCGCGCCAATGCGCATGCCGATCTCTTGTATCTACAAGATCAAGGGTGTCGGCGATGTGCTCGCTGGGCGCGTGGAGCAGGACGTGGTAAAGCCGGGTGAGGAGGTTGTGTTTCTGCCCACTCACACCGGTTCGAACCCGTGCACCGGCAAGGTGTTCACCGTGGACATGCACCACCAGCGCGTCGATTCCGCCAACCCGGGGGACAACGTTGGCCTCAACATCAAGGGGCTCGACAAAAACAACATGCCTCGCTCTGGCGACGTGATGGTGTACAAGAAGGACACCACCCTGGGTCAGACGAAGGAGTTCGACGCGCAGATCCAGGTGCTCGACATCCCCAATGAGATCAAGGTCGGTTACTCCCCGATCGGCTTCGTGCGCTGCGGGCGTGCGGCATGCCGCATCACTGGTGTGGTACTTCTCGCAGTTGAAATGGAGATATGACGATTCGGAGATTGCACCGCTCAGTGTCACGTGGATGGAACTTTCGATTGACTTCACGAGCGCTACGGGCCTACTACCGAGTGGCCCAAGCGAGGGCCCTGAGAACGTGACCCTGGAGAGAATGGCAAGGTACTTTTGCACGGCTGCCTTGCGTATGGCGGTGTTGTGTCAGGCCTGCCTTTCTCCAAGGGGTACACCGCGCGCGAAAGGGGCGAAACCGGCGCGCTCCCTGGCCCCGCTGGGCATGCGTCCTGCAGTTGGATTTCTCTGTCGTCCACGTTTTCTGATGCATGATGCGACCATGTCCGTCATCTTCAAAACAGCGATGACTACCACCACGAGATCTTTTTCGGCAGCTGTTGTACCAACCTGGGGGGCGATGCCGAAACCTCTCTGGGAACTACCCAAGTTGGCTTCCTCAAACTTGGCCAAGACAATTTCAGAAAAAAAGCCCTCGCAGCAGTAGCCACGAAAGGATCACGACCCAATAAAGCGGACCCCATCCTTGTGGCAGCCTCAGCGACGACTTGGACACCCCAAGAACAGGCAGCGCTTCGCGGTCTTCGAGGCGACGAGCTCCATGCCAATGAGAAGAGATTGTTACACAACCGCACGGCTGCAAACCGCGGATTCCACGTCATCGAGCACGTCGCATGGAGTGGCGACCGACGCGCGAAGTGCAGCAACTGTGGGAGAAGTGCGGTCATACGCACCATGTCGAAGTGGATACGTGAGCCATGCCAGGGATCGCCAGAGGCAGCACGAGCTGCAGCCGTGTCAAAGGCGGTCAGGCATTTGACTCCAGAGATTGTTAACCAATGACGTCGTGAGCACAATGCAAAGAAGGCCCCGCGCTCCCACCACTTCTTGGACGTGGACGAGGCAGGCGTGACCATCAAATGCACCAAGTGCGGCGAAAGGAGAGCCATGCAGCACCATCGCACATTCCTCTCTGGTCTTTGTACCACCTGATCGACGGACTGAGTGGCTCCTACCAGCGTCTCAACCAATGGTGATGACATGTATTTTCTATTGCGCTGCCCATCAGTGTCATGCTATTCCCCGAGGGGGTAGACCCGTGGAGCCCATGCGGGTGCCCACGATGGCTTAAATGCGACGGAGCGTGTATCCCCTCGGGTCCACTGCATATGTGCATCCTGGGCTTCCCGGGCTGGACAGTCATAATTCCAAAGAATTGCCGCGGATGCCTTGTCAGACTGCTGAGTGGAACGAGTACCGAGGAGCAGGGGCATGAGTCAAACGTGAGCTATGACATGTATTCGAAGTTTTAGCATCCGGGGTGATGCCAGATGGCTACTTCTTTTTCTTCGAGGAGATTCTGCTCCTCCTGTTCAGTTGGGTCAGGCCCCCTCTCTTCCCGCGCGCGCCCCTCTCAGTCACGCCGTTCAGGTGTCGCGTGTTGCTTGGGGCCGCGCGGGGAGGGAAAGGGGGCCTCAAACATGCTGGCCAACATCGGGCTGGCCTTGTACTTTTTCGTCCTGATGACGCCCGTGCATGGGCTGATAGACTGGTCCTTCCTTGTGCTGTACCTCTTCGCGGTGCAATGCTTGATTTTGATATTTATGAGGCTCGACGAGCCGCTGAGGATATTCAGCCTTGAGGAGTTCTTGCACAGTGAACTCTATGATGTTGGCATGAAATGTTTCACTGGGTACGTGTACTACGTGAATTACCCCAGCACAGTCGTCGGTGTGCGACACCTTCAAGAACTGCGAGGGCCTGTCCCGTGTCGCGTTCGTGGACGCCAATGGTGTGGTGATGCTTGGCAAGGTGATCTCTTGCGAGCGCAAGGAGGAGGGTGGTGCTGGTGGCAAGAAGAAGTGAGCGCTTCCCTGGATGGGTGCCACGAGACGCGGGGCCATTGGAATTTTCCATAAGCTGGCTCACCTCGGGCTGCCCTCCCCCAGAAAGTGCGCGTTGCAGGTGCGTGTCTGGTCATCGGCGTCTCGATGCAGAGGCGGCGTGTTTTTGTTTCCGCACTCTGCGATAGGGAGCGTCCAGTCTCGTCAGCACTCTAAGGATTTCTCGTGCAGACGTGTCGCTAGCCGTTTTGTCCATGCAGTTCCGAATGCAGAAAGTCATGCAGGGACACAGACCGCGAGTTGCAGGGCCGAGGACGAAAATGAGGCGGGCGCGTGTACCCCGACCAGTGATTGGTGAGACGGGCCTGTCGGCAATGGTGCCGAGCATTGCCGGAGTGGAAGATCCCCGAGGCTAGAGGCACTCTCGGAAACAGGGCCGAACGGCAGCACGAACGGCAATTATCGGCTGCAGCGGAGGGCAGTCGGGGACGGAGCCAAGCGAGAATAGCTCACGGCGGCGGGGGCAGGGCCGGGGACAGTCGGGGACAGGGCGGAGCGAGCCAAACACCAGGCTTAAGTCGGGCATGTCCCTCTACAGGAGGAATCTTAAAACATAGCCAAAAGAAATAGTCAGGGGACGATGTTTCGGATTATTTTTGGACCATTTTTGGGTATTTCTGGGAGTATTTTCTATCTTTCGTCCAAAATCGGCCTGTAGGAGGACATGCCCGACCGAATACCATGGCCAGTGGCAGCCGAAGGAAAGTGACGGCGGCGGAAATCAACTGTGAGGGCTGGGGAGAGCCAGGGACAGCGCCGGGGGCAGGCAGTCGACGGCACTCCCGGGCAGGTTCGGGTGCCAGGGCACCGTCGGGGCCCTCTCTTGGGCGCTCTTTTGGGGCGATCTCGGGGGCCTCTTGGGGGGCCTCTTGGGCCATCTTGGAGCTCCTCTCTGGGCCATTCTGGGGCCATCTTGAGGCCTCAGACGCCCAGCGGAAGCAAAAAGACGAGAAGGCAATCATAATCAATTTTCTGAAGTTTTCAGTTGAAGGATTCTGGCCTCTCTGGGGTGTCCTTGGAGAGATTTGGGGTCACTTAAAGCCGTCTTTGGCCCGTCTTTGGGCGTCTCGGAGGTATGCCGGATGGCTATCTTTCGCAGTCTTCGAGGCCAATCTAGAGCATCGGGTGCCATCTTGAAGCCATTTAGGCCCAAAGCGAACCTGCTAACCTATCGGTCGCCCCCCCGACCCCAGCTGGGGGGTCGGGATTGGTACACTCCTCCCCGAACACAGGAAGAAGGCGGATTAGAATAGGGATGAATTGGCGCCCTAGACCACCTACGCCCAGAGGGCCAGTGGGATTCCAGGCAGCGGGGTGGCCAGGGCGCAGTCGGGGGGCAGCACGGGGACAGTCGGGGGCTTTCGCCCAGACCGCCCCGCCAACACGCCCGGTGGTGGTGCGACGGGGAGGAGTTGTATGCAAGGAAAAGGGATAAGGATGAGGATGGGGAGGAGAAGTAGGATGATAAAAAGAAACACCAGCAGATGGATGCGCAGAACAAAAGGGAACATGTGGAGGAAGGGGAGGGGGAATAAACGGAGCAGGAACAACATGATGGGAAACATCTTAGCACAAGTAGCATGGAAACATGGTGGTGGTAGTAGTAGTAGTAGTAGTAGTAGTAGTAGTAGTAGTAGTAGTAGTAGTAGTAGTAGTAGTAGTAGTAGTAGTAGTAGTAGTAGTAGTAGTAGTAGTAGTAGTAGTAGTAGTAGTAGTCGTAGTCGTAGTAGTCGTAGTAGTCGTAGTAGTAGTAGTAAGTAGTAGTAGTAGTAGTAGTAGTAGTAGTAGTAGTAGTCGTAGTAGTCGTAGTCGTAGAGTGTAGTCGTAGTCGTAGTCGTAGCGTAGTCGTTAGTCGTAGTCGTAAGTCGTAGTCGTAGGTCGTAGTAGTCGTAGTCGTATTAGAGGAGGACGAGGAGGACGAGGAGGCGGAGGGAGGAGGGAGGAGGAAGGAGGAGGAGGAAAGGAGGAGGAGGAGGCGGAGGCGGAGGCGGAGGCGGAGGCGGAGGCGGAGGCGGAGGCGGAGGCGGAGGCGGAGGCGGAGGCGGAGGCGGAGGAGGCGGAGGCGGAGGCGGAGATGCGGAGGCGGAGGCGGAGGCGGAGGCGGAGGCGGAGGCGGAGGCGGAGGCGGAGGCGGAGGCGGAGGAGGAGGCGGAGGCGGAGGAGGCGGATGAGGAGGAGGAGGAGGAGGAGGAGGAGGAGGAGGAGGAGAAGGCGGAGGAGGAGGAGGAGGAGGCGGAGGAGGAGGAGGAGGACCAGTGTAAACCCAAGAGTCGTCAACGATGTTCGGATAAGCCCTCCCTTCAAGCTTCCTCTTCATAGGCCCCTATTACGGTTCATTTCCACTGAGGGAACTGCGTCGTTGGCAGACAACCGTTTGAAGACCCTGAAGCGTGCTAGAATTTAATTTCCGGGATTCCTACGCCACGGCTTATTGTTGCGTCTTGACGATCCTGAATCTTGCCAGAACGCCGTTCCTGGGACTTCAACACAGCGAATCAACGTAACTGTTGCACCCTCAAAATCGTGAATCCTTCCAAAACGCAATTTTTGGCACGCTGATCATGGGAATCGTTGTAATTCAGGCATTTTTCCCAACCATCCGGTGGTGTTGGGTCTTCGTTTTGGAGAGACGGTCACTGCGTTCCGTCTCTCTCCTTCCTTCCTCCCCCTCCTCCCCGTCCTCCCTCCTCCTTGCGTTTCACCCACCCAGTACAGCGTTTCGTGGCCCCATAGGGAGCTCCACCGAAGGCGCCAGTGCCTCCGTCCGCATGCGTCCTGGAAGCCTCCAAATTGGCATTTTCACCCACCCAGCACAGCGTTCGCATGCGTCTCGGAAATCCAAATTGGCATTTCCACCGACTCAGTACAGCGCTTCGTGGCCCCGTAGGGAGCTCCACCGAAGCCCCCCGTGCCACCGTCCGCATGCGTCCCGGAAACGCAATTTGGCATTTTCACTTACCCAGGTTGCCCCATAGGGAGTTCTACCGAAGGCGCCAGTGCCACTGTCCGCATGCGTCCAGGAAGCATCCAATTTGGCATTTTCATCTACCCAGTAAAGCGTTTCGTGGCCCCATATCAAGCTCCACCGGAGGCCTCAGTGCCACCGCCCGCATGCGTCCCGGAAACATTAAATTGTGCATTTTCACCCGCTCAGTACAGCGTTTCGTGGCTCCATAGGGTGATCCACCGAAGACCCGACTGCTAACCGTCCGCATGCGTCTCGAAACATTAGATTTTTACACGTTTCGTGGCCCCATAGGGAGCTCCACCGAAGCCCCCAGTGCCACCGCCCGCGTGCGTCCCGAAACATCCAGTTTGGCATTTTCACCCACCCAGTACAGCGTTTCGTGGCCCTCTAGGGAGCTCCACCGAAAATCCCAGTGCCACCGTCCGCATGCGTCCCGAAACATCCAGTTTTGCCTTTTCATCCACCCAGTGCAGCGCTTCGTGGCCCCATAGGGAACTCCACCGAAGGCCCCAGTGCCACCGTCCGCATGCGTCCCGAAACATTCAATCTGGCATTTTCACCCACCCAATACAGCATTTCGTTGCCCCATAGGTCGCCCCATCGAAGGCCCCAGTTCCACCGTCCGCATGCGTCCCGAAACATCCAGTTTGGCATTTTGCCTTTCCCAATGCAGCGTTTCGTGGCCACATAGGGAGCCCCACCGAAGGCCCCAGTGCCCGTCCGCATGGGCCCCGAAACGTTAAATTTTGCATTTTCACCCACCCGGTACAGCGTTTGGTGGCCCCGTAGGGAGCTCCACCGAAGGTTCCAGGTCTACCGCCCGCATGCGTTCCCCCCGTGGCCCCATAGGGAGCTGCAGCGACGGCCCCAGTGCTATCGCCCGCATGCGTCCCCCCCACCCAGTACAGCGTTTCGTGACCCCATAGGGAGCTCCAACGACGGCCCAAGTGCTATCGCCCGCATGCGTCCCCCCCGCCCAGCGTTTCGTGGCCCGATAGGGAGCTCCATCGAAAGTCCCAGCACTACCGCCCACATGCGTCACCCCTCCAGGGTTTTGTGGCCCGATAGGGAGCTCCACCGAAGGCCCCGGTGCTACCGCCCGCATGCGTCCCCCCCACCCAGTGCAGCGTTTCGTGGCCCCATAGGGAGCTCCACCGACGGCCCCAGTGCTATCGCCCGCATGCGTCACCCCCCATTCAGTACAGCGTTTCGTGGCCCCATAGGGAGCTTCCACTGACGGCCCCAGTGCTACCGCTCGCATGCGTCCCCCCCGCCCAGTGCAGCGTTTCGTGGCCCCATAAGGAGCTGCAGCGACGGCCCCATTGCTACCGCCCGCATGCTCCCCCCCATCCAGTGCAGCGTTTCGTGGCCCGATAGGGAGCTGCAACGACGGCCCCAGTGCTACCGCTCGCATGCGTCCCCCCCGCCCAGTGCAGCGTTTCGTGGCCCCAGAGGGAGCCCCACCGAAGGTTCCAGGTCTACCGCCCGCATGCGTTCCCTTCCGCCCAGTACAGCGTTTCGTAGCCCCATAGGGAGCTTCCACCGACGGCCCCAGTGCTACCGCCCGCATGCGTCCCCCCCCATCCAGTGCTGCGTTTCGTGGCCCGATAGGGAGCTGCAACGACGGCCCCAGTGCGATCGCCCGCATGCGTCCCCCCGCCCAGCGTTTCGTAGCCCCATAGGGGGCTCCACCGAAGGTCCCGGCGCTACCGCCCACATGCGTCCCCCCACCCAGTGCAGCGCTACCGCCCGCATGCGTCCCCCCCCCCCCCCAGTGCAGCGTCTCGTCCACCGAAGGTCCTGGCGCTACCGCCCGCATGCGTCCCCCCCGCCCAGTACATCGTTTCGTGGCCCCGTAGTGAGCTCCACCGACGGCCCCAGTGCTACTGCCCGCATGCGTCTCCCCCGCCCAGTGCAGCGCTTTGTGGCCCCATAGGGAGCTCCACCGACGGCCCCACTGCTACTGCCCGCATGCGTTCCCCCCCGCCCAGTGCAGCGCTTCGTGGCCCCATAGGGAGCTTCACCGAAGAAGATATTCACAATTGCGGTACCCACAAGACAACTGCATATGGTTGGGTCCTTCGCCAGGATATTTTCAAAAAGTGCGCGGCGCCTAGGCGAGAATTAAAGACGAGCATGTGCGGCGCTAGGGCGAGAACCACATGTTGAAAGCAAATCGCCTTCAATCCGTGAAGCTTTTGCAAATTGGTTAAACGAGTGTGCTCGGCGCTAAGGCGAGCGCCACATTTTGAAAACGACCCGCCCTCCATCTGCGAATATGTCGCGAATTTTTAAGCTTGAGAGTCTTAATTGGTGAGGGCGTCTCATGCGAAACGCCCGGCTCGCCCTAAAAGGGGCCTCGGGGTGCGACATGGAGAAGTGATGTATAAGGAAAAAGGATTGAGGAGGAGGAGGGGGAGGAGGATGGGGATGATGATGCTGATGCTGCTGCTGATGATGATGATGATGCTGATGATGCT